TTGTTTGTGCCCATCAGCCGTGGGACCGCAGCCCCTGCGCCGAGCGATAACGGCTTCACTTTGTCTGATGCTGAAGGTGCTTGTCAACCTCAGCGAGATAAAAAGGCCAAACACATTTATAATTGTGTAATTAAATGGCTCCTGTGCCTTCCAGGCATCTCGCACAGCTGGGCAGATGGTTCAGCGCCAGCACTGACAGGCTGATGGCACAGCACTGAGATGCATGGCCAGCTCCTGCTGTGGCTCAGCTGGGTGGCACCGCTGTCCCCATGGGGTCACATCCCTTCACTGTGTCCCTGTCCCTTTGCTGTGTCCCTGTCCCAGCCCCAGCATGAAGGAGAGGAGCTGTGGGTCCTTGCAAGCTCTGCTCTGGCTCAAGCACTGGGCCTGCATCCCCTGGCTTCAGTCAGTGTAGCATAAGCAGGTTCTGCTGGGAAATAGGAAGGAAAAGGCCAGGGCTGATGCTACACAAAGTCCTGAACAGCTGAACAGAACCCTAACATCTTTTTCTTTGACTTGCTTAACACAACTCCATCGCCTGTGAGGTTAATACATCAACAGTGCATTTTCTACGTTTGCAATTAGCAGAATAGAGCACAGGAGCTGGATGTGCTGCAGGGAAGAGGTGGGCACAGGGAGTTCCTGCTTAAGGCGAACCCCAGAGCTGTGGGATATGCACCCCACTGCACAATGCCCAGAGCTGCTCCTCTGTTTGCAGGGTCCAGGCACACAGCAGCCCCAGATGTGCCACAGCACCGGAGAGGGCAGAGGTAGGGGAACAGAAGGAGATTAATGCAAGGAGGGATGGTGCATCCGTTCCTGAGACACTTCAAGTGGCAGATCACTGATTATGATGATAGATGGCACCGGTTCTTCCTGATAATTAGCAGTCGTTCTTATTTAAATGAAACTCTCCCCCCAGAGCCAGGTTTTTTCAAATGTTCCCTAGGCATGGCTCTCCCCTGCCATCCCAAGCCCCTTTCTAAGGGTTTGCCACCCACCCACAAACAGACCTCAGATGGGAGCAGAAGGCAACGGTGGTCCAAAGGGAGGCAGGACACAAGGCAAACAGCAAGGTGACAGATGCTGCTGTCTTTGGAGAACAGGGACATGATTTTCCAGATGTTTTCCAGAGCTTCCTCAAAGACACTGCGTGTGTCAGAGGCTGGTTCACGCATTGCTGGATACAGACACATACACAGCTGCAGCCCAGGCTAGAAACTCCCCCTCAAACCTCCAAGGACTGGGATTAGATCATGAGACGTTTGCTTGGGTCTGTTGTGTGGAAAATATTCAGCCCACTCAGCTCCACCAGCAGAGGATGGGGGGGAAGAAAGGAGCAGAAGCTTCAATGTCAGCCCATGCAATCCATCACTGCAGCAGGGCAGGCGTAAAGCAGGGAGCAATAAGTCATGCAGACGGAGCTTCCAGCTCAGAGGATGACATGCTGACACCACGCAGTGCAAATGTGTGACCCAGTAAGTCCAAAAATCTGCCTCCCTCATAGATAACACATGGACCTGGCACTGGGGGTGACTCAGGGGGTGATGGAGTCCCCTGGCCCTGCTGCACATCCCTATCCCATGCTAGAAGCATCCCATCCTCATCCCAGCAGAATGATGGCATCCAAACTCCATCCCTACAAGGAAAGTCACCCAAAAAAGGGGAAAACATCACACACACAGCCCCAGGAGGCAGCACAGCATATAAAGCCTGAGCAAAAAGCACCTCTGATGGCTGCGCTGCGATCCGCTATTCATAGCCCCGCTTCAGAGCTCTAATTAGTTCTTTATAGTGCCAATATAGCCCTGGCCAGGCTCCTAGTGAAGATTGGCTGAATTAATTGATCGACAGAAGGCAAATAGACTTCACCCGGTTTAAGCACCCATTCAGTTCCCTTTTTGGAGCAGCTGTCACTGCTGTCAGCGCGCTGCAACGAGGCTTTGTATGCACTCCTTGGCATTAAGCAGCCTAAGAAAAAGAGAAGGAATGGGAACTGCTGAATGAGACACACTGAATTATTTCTCAGTATTACTATTTGTGCAGTGTTTGCATTTAACGTGCTGGCCATACACTGCTTGCCTTTCCCCAATTAAAGAATTTATTGCATCCCTTGAGTGCAGGAACTTGGCGGCGCTTTCCCTTTGCTCCATGTGAACTCCCTGGACTATGGGGATCCCTGCCAGCCCTGTAGCCTCTCCCTCCTCAAAACACACCAGCTGCACTCGTTAAACATTATTTTTTCCCTTATGGAAACATCAGAAGCAAGAAAGCACCACTGCACTGCTGCACCCTTAGCAGAAGGAGCAGGAGCTCATTTGCTATTTAATAAAACGGCATCATTTTACACCTGGCTACTGCTTAAGCTCTGCATGAACTGGCACCTAGCACCCCTGCTGGCACTGCATTTTCCATCAAGATACCTGAAATAACCCACACAGACAAGCCAGGACAGAATTAGTGTTGTTTTTACTTCGGTATTTAGGCATCTCATTATTGCAATCTTCAAACATAGTTCAATAAATACAAAATTAACAAAAATGTCAATAGATCTTTATTACCATCTATTATTATTATTATTATTATTCCAAACCAACAGTGATTCCCTGGAGATGTCTGACTATAGCTCAAACATTGAACGTACACAGTGTCCCTTATGATCTTATATTACATTTGTTTCAAGCTTATAAAAATATATATTGACTTCTCAGGTATGTATTTACAGTATATAACACGTGGTTAATGACTATCAAAAAGCAGCTGGAGGTGAACCAACGTGATCTGGACTGACTCTGCCTCAACTCCTGGCTGCAGGAAACTGCCCCAGAGAAGAGCAGTGCTGGGAGCTGCCCTTCTGCCCAAGGGGAATGCAGGGCTCATTGCAGGAGGGGAGGATTTGCAGAGAGGAATTTCTCCATGATGTGCAGAGAACTCCCAAGGAGAGGCTGTGCTGTGCCTCTTCTCCCTGGCCAAGAGGAACATCTAGTGGAGACATCCTCCTTAGGAATACAGGGAACAACAAGAGGAGGCTGCATGAGAACAGAGCGTGCTGGGAACAAGGAAGGGAACAAGATCCCAGAGTCACGTGTGCACGTGGTGCTGATGCTGCTCAGGGTGGGATGGGGGTCTGGAGACACCAACCTTGGTGAATTCCTGCATGAGTTCAGCAGAAACCTAAAGATGCCAATCCAAAACACCCGTCAGCTCAGGCAGGTCAGCAAGTGCTGCTTCCTCACCTTTCTCCAACCCAGTCACCTGGTGCTAATGGTGCAGGTGGGCTGAGCTCTGCCCCGTGCCCTCCTGAGCACCAGCACGATGTGTCTGGGGAGCTCTGCCCACACTGCATGGATCTGAGAGCATCCCTTCTCGAGGTGTTTCCCTTGACTGAGCAGCTGCACAACAGCACTGCTAATTAATTTAATTATAAGGCATTGAATACTTCCCCAAAGAGGAGGTGTGGAGAGGGCATGAGTTAATTTTAAAATCGTAGCAACAATTTATAACTTAATCTGCTCAAGTGATTATCTTCAGGGCTGAGAGAGCTCAGTTACAGGTGTGTGCTGGTGCCACCTATGAGTCATGAAGCACAGACCAGGATGGCAAGCACTCCTTGCTCCTGCCCTGGTCATAGAATGATACTGTTAGGGAGAAACAGCTGTAAAACACCACATCCCTCATCCACAGGAAGTCAGGAAAGTAATTAAACATGGAATTTCTTTTGGGAACAGATAGAGAATGCAGTACAGGGGCCGCAATTCTGTAGGGGAAACGTTCAAGAAGTGACAGAAAAATGGTCTCATTTTTAATTGGAGTACTCCAGCACAAAGTCAGCATGCAAGTGCTCAACCATGTGGATTAAGGGGCTTTGTGAACTTGCTGCTGAGGAAGGACGAGGACAAGGACTTCCCCTTCCTCACCCCAACATCCCCCTTTGCCTCTGCAGGGAATGCAGTCTGGAGCTCGCCAGGTCTGTTGCTTTTGTCAGCACTGCCTTTGGTTGTAGGTTCTTAAATGAAAAATAAAACCCGGGAGCATTCCCAAGGAATAACATTTAATCTGTCAGAAAGGGAACTTCACTCTCTCATCCACTTTTTGCCAAGAATTCATTGCTTCTGTGCAGCTGTGCACGCATCCCTACACCTGACCTCACTCACTAGGCACACAGGGACCTGCACTGCCCCCTCATAGACATGGAAACACTTGTGCAGGAGCACCCAGCACCTCCCAGCTGCTCCAAGGAGCTGCCATCAGATACTCATGGACTCCATGCACAGGTGTGGGCAGAGGCTTCAGCTTGCTCAGCCTCTTCAGCAGCTGCTCAGCCTCCCCCAATGGGTCAGATGGGTGTTACAGAGATTGGGGCACCTCCCCTGTGATTCCTCCAGTTGCTGATTGCTGTTCTTATTGCCATAGTTCCATTCCTTTTTGCTAGCTTCACTTCCTCACCATTGCACTTGTGATGCTCAGAGCCCTCAGCACCTTCATAGAATCATACAATTATTAAGGGTCAAAAAGAGCACTAGGATGATCCCAACCTTCCTGCACACTGCAGACCCAGATAAGGCCTTCTGCATGCTCAAGGTCAGCAGTTTTCCAGACCATGGTGCCCACCATGGCACCACATCACCCTGCACCCAGCCCATCCTACAGCCACCTCCGTGCAGGAGGGACAGGAGTGGGAGATGTGGGATCAGAAATCACGTTGGTTCAGCTCCCTGCCCAGAGAACTCTTAATATACTTTTCTCTATAGATAAAATGTAAACATAACGAGCATACAAATTGCACTTGATCCTTGGGATCTGGCATTTCTACCAAATGAAGGTTTCAGTTCACAATTATTACTCTTCTGGGTGTGATATGGCAGGATGCTGGACCCAACAATGGCAAAACCTAAAGGCAAATTAATTCTGTAAACAAACAAACAAACAAAAAGACCTAATGGCATTAGGGAATGATGTCCAAACTGCAGGAGAAGAGCACCGAGAGCTGGTGGCAGTTCACTGCAGCTCTGCCTTCAAATGGCAAGACGAGGCAGAAAAAAAATATACTTAGCCAGCACCTTCTTGACTCCGCTTGTTGGAGTTCAGCCAAAGAGCTCTGATCTCCAATGCAATCACATTGAAACAGCTGAACAAAGTTAAACGTAGTCCTGAGCACTCACAGCCCTGCTCTAAGAAGCCTAGCCAGAGGGCTCTGAGGGCACAGCACTGTGCTGGTTTGAAGGAACCCATCAGGAACAGGGCTTTGCTGGATCCTTAAAGCAACTGTGAAGGCTGTGGGGCCAGGATGGATGTGACCTCATTCTGGGCAGGTGGGTGCTATGCCAGCCCTGCAAGCAAGCTGTGTCAGTGCCCTGCAGCTCAATGCCTTTTGGATGCATCCCCTCGGCACAGGTTAGCTGCAGAAGATCTGAATCCTCCGCATACAGATTTCCAACTGCACTGTGAACACCTTCCACAGCATTCATTCCTTTTGTAAATCTTTGTCTTTCATCATTAATAATTCACTCGCAATACGTACAGATGATAATAAAAGAGCTACAAAGCTCTGTACGAGGCTACAAAGACCCATTTAATTAACTAACTTCAAAGAAAACCTCGTATTGTTAAGCAGATGCTATTTATGCCTTCTGTCACAGATTGGGCCTGTAGCAGAAACACCAATGCACGAGGCACGCTGTGCAGAGCTGCTACAAAACAAAGTGCTGTGTGCCCACCTGGCGCCCAGCAGCACCCAGGGCTCCATCCCTCAGCCACGCAGCAATGCTCTGTTTCTATCTGCAGGATGGGTACCACATCCAGCTGCACCCAGTGGTTATTTCTATACCACTTCCCTAAGCTATGGTACAGTGTTGGGATTGCAAAGCAAATGCAGCTGCTGGCAGACCTCACGGGGTCTGTGTTAGTGCTGGAGGTAATCAGACCCTTCCACTTTTTCAGACTCCTGAAGATGTCTCCTACCTGCAAGGAGCAGCTTGCCACCATGGGCACACCTCGCTCCCACTGCCTCCCTGGATCTCCTGGTGCCATCACCTCCCCCACTGCCAATGAGGACACAGGATGCCTGCAAGATTTTGCAGGGCAAGAAGCAGGAAAAAGGGGCAAAGGAGCACCAGCTGCTCTAGCATCAATCAGCCCTCCAAGGGCAGCAGGTTCCTGCTCACTGCTGCTGCTCTGTAATTCTATCCCACCTGGTGGGCTCACGCAGAGAAATGATGGACTAGGACCTGAACAAAAGGCAGCAAAGGCTGAAAGCATCAGCGGGGCAACCCAAGGCTTCTCTACTTGCCCTCTCTTGGCTGTGGCTATCATCATCAAAGCCTTCCATTCCCTCCTCTGAAATTGTCTTGTCAAAAGCACCTTCCAAACATTCAGCACTGCACTTTGGCAGGGAACATTTGTCTCTGTTCACTGACAGTGGTGTCAGAATTCAGCAAGGTGACTCTGAGTGGAAGGGACGTGGCTGGGACAGAGCTTCCTTCCAGCGTGCCAGATGGGCAAAGTCACCTTCCTGAAGCTGGGTGTGAGCCTCTAAAAATAAAAGCAATAAAAGCTCCTGGTGGGGTTGGTAGAAGATGTCAGCCTGTATAAAAATACCCATGGATTTCACCAGTAGGATGCTAGATAGGAAAATGCTGTCAGCTCTGGATGAAGACAGCAACAGAAATGTTCATCCACCCTGTTAATCTAGTTACCATGTGAAATGGTGTCATTACAGTTTGACTCATCTTACAGAGCAGCAATGGGGAGAACCATAGCCACCCAAGTACACTGTACCTGGTGCCTGGGAACACAGCTTCCCCAGCACAGGGGATGGCATGCCCTGCCCTCTTACCACTCGGAACGACACATCTGGCAGCAGCCCACCAGATCCCACATCCCACCCAAAACTGCAAGGCTTCTGAGATTTGGTCCAACATGGGCCAGCACCTCCTTCTGCTCCATTGGTTCTGTGTTCCATGTCACACCTGCACGCCCCGGCCATGCATCTGGATCACCTGGGCCCGCAGGGTCTGGATGCCACTCAGGATGGTCTTCTGATGCTCTGCCTGAGTGATCCCCAGGCTCAGGACATCTCTGCAAAATACACCCCATGGTCAGGGAAACAACCCTAATCTCAACCTCCCATGCTGGCTGCTCTCCATCAATTAGCAGTATGAATTTCTGACCATTCGGCTACCTGTAGCAGTAAGAAAGTCCCCAGTGCATTGTCCCAGCTGAACACTATGGACCTTGGCAAGGAGCTTAGGGGTGACACATAAGCCCACAGCACAGAACAGTTCCCAATACAGCTGCTGGACCTGGAAGCCCCATGCTGCCCACAGTACCATCTGTCAGCAAATCTCTGACCCCTTTCAGTGTATGGGTCAGGTAACATTCTACTCCTGCCAGAAATTACGGGTTAAAATCCCAAATCACAGCTCCAAAGTGCAGCAGCTGAACTGCACAGCACAAGCAACCAAAGCCATGCCAGCAAGCTTGCTTTCTTTCTTCAGACACATTTGGGAAGATCTGCCCCATCCATTCACCACCAAGAGGCTGTAATTTAGAAACCTTACAAAGCCCTGCTTAAACTGAACCCAGCAACACCAGGCTGCAGCCTAACCCTCTCACTTACTGCGCTGTCATCCTGGCCACGGACTCCAGGTAGCAGCAGCCTGCAGCAGTGAAGTTATCCCGGTATCTGCCCATCCCTATGGCTTCCAGCCACTCTCCCACAGAGCTGAACGCTGGGAAAGCCATGAAGGAGCGCTCGGTGAGTGGCATGGTGCTGCGGGACCTGCGGGCAGAAGGGAGGTGAGGGACAGTGGGGGCTATGGCAGGGTCCCAGCCCCACAGGGACAAGCAGGCACCTGGTGCACGGAGGTGGCTCTGGGCTCTGCAGCATCTTGCTGAGGACGTCGTGGATGTGGGAGAATTTGGGGCGCTGGCTGCGCTCCTTCTGCCAGCAGTCCAGCATCAGCTGGTGCAACGGTGGCTGGCAGTGTGCTGGGGCAGGCAGGCGGAAGCCATCCTCCACTGCCTTCATCACCTGCAAGGAGAGGCAGAGAGGTGAGGGGATGGTGAATACAGATTGCACCAAACACAGTGAGCCATACGACGACATCAGGCACGCAGCTGGGGCACTCACATCGTGGTGGGACATGTCCCAGTAGGGTCTCTCGCCATAGGACATCACCTCCCACATGACGATGCCGAAGCTCCACACATCACTGGCTGGGCTGAAGTGGTGATACTGGATGGCTTCAGGTGCTGACCACAGCACCAGGCTCTTCCCATGCTGCCAGGCAGAAAAAGGGGAGAAATAGGGTTGTCACACAGGACAGAGAGTGACACAGTGATCCCCGTGGCCATCTCACGCATCCTCTCCCCCTGCATACCACGTGCAGCTCTGACAACTCGTGCCTCCATTTATTTTAAAATGGTCATGCAATGGTATGCTGCATGGGAAGGCGAGTCCTGAAATATTAATGGCAGGGAGAATGGCTCTGGGAAGAGCTGATGGCATTTTATACATTAATATTTAACGAAAGCCATCTCAGAGCTGCACAAACACACAGCTCCTCCACCCCGGCTGCTCTCCTGTAATTAGCAGCCCTGTCCTCCACCTCTGCAGAACCCTCTGGATGCACCGGGGGAAGCAGGTGACAGACACTGCAGCTAATGGTAATTAACAGCAGAGAGACCTCAACCCCTAAGCTACCATCTGGGCTCCTCATGCCATAGAAAGGTTTCTCCCAAGCTCTGTGGGTTGTTCAGTGCACGGTCCCATTTCACCACATTCTCCCTAGGATGGGGATGCTTTCCCCAAGGTCTCCTTGGAGCTCATGATAAAGGCTGAAAAAATACTTCTCAGTGATTCTCGCTGCTATCTGCCAGCTTACAGATGGCAGCAAAGTGCAGCTCCTAACAGATCATGGGCTGAACCCCACACCCAGGCCTTTCTCTCCCTGGGACAGCAGTGCCCAGCACTGGGGCACAGCTCCAGGTACCTGCAGCCACCACACCTCCTTGGCACTGCCTGCACACTCCCTGCAAACAATAAGGGCTCAGCCAAGTGCACAATCGAGGCTTTTTAAAACCTCTGTGCCCAGTTAATGCAATGTGCTAATAGGTTCAGCTGCGACAGGGTGAGCTGATGAAGTGTGAGCATGAAGCAAGCAGGACTTAAGTTCTTAATTGAAAACTATGAACTTCATTATAAATGACAAATTAGAGCTAATGAAGCCCAAGGCTGCTCGCCATGCAGAGGGGCAGATCCCCAGCCAAACACATTTCATGTCCAAATCCCATTCCAAAAGGCACCTTACCATGGTGGAGAAGATGGTTTCCATCTTATCTTCCTGCGGCCGTCTGAATCCTGTGATTTTGCAAGCCAGGCTGCTGTTCACCAGGACTTTGTGGGCAGCCAGGCTTTTGTGTATGTAACCCATCTCTGCCAGGTATTTCATGCCAGCAGCGATCCCCTGCAACATGCTGAGGAGCTGGCTGGCCGTGAGCTGGCCCTCGTGTTTCTGCAAAGAAAACCAAAAAGAAGGAAAGAAAGAAAAGAGGAGGAGGAAAAGCTGGAGCTGAGCGATGCCTGCTGAAGCCTGAGCAGGTGATGGAGCCCAGCAGTCAGCACACAGCACTCACCCTGAGGAAAGAGTCCAGCACTCCGTTCCCCATGTACTCCATCACTATCATCATGGTGCTCCCTGCATGGACAGACAAGGAGCACTGCATGAATGCTACTGCAGGGGGAATGGAAGCACAGAGCACAACTCCCTGCCCTCAAACCTCCCCACCTGCAAATATAGGTTGTTTGATAGATTTTTGGTCACAAACTCCACTGGTGAGGTGATGTATGTGACCAATAGGGATGGGTGAGGGAGGCTTGCTGATGGAAAGCAACAGTGCTTTGGCACTGCTGAGCACATGCACTAAGACTTGTGCAGCGTTGCTGAGGGAGGAACTCGTGCTGGAAGGTGCTTCACTGCAAAGATGTGATTTTCTTGTTCTGAATTATCATAACCAAGAGATGCACAGAACTCCAGCACAGTGCTGGGCTTCCTGCACCCCAACAGTGTGGCCACAGAATGAGCTCTGCCAGTATTAATGAAGCTCAATAAAGGAAAGATTTGGCTAAAAGGGTTGGAAAATACAATTGCCAAGAGGAAATTAGGTGAAGAGCTTGTCCTCATTTCTCCAGCTGTCCTGGAAAGCCTGTTACAAAGTCAAGCACTGTCTTCAAAGATTGTGATATGGGCACAGACTCACATAACACAGACTTACCCAAGAGCAGGACAAGATGCTCCTGGGGAGTCTGTGCCTCTTGACACAATGAGATCATTTCAAATAAATACATTACTTACAGAATTACACAAAAGCAGCCAGTTCAGTCCCAGACTCAGGGCAGAGATACTTTCTCATGTCCTGAAGGGCTGCTTCAAGTCACCACATATACTCACATGCCTTTGGATTTACACCAATATCCACTTAACGCAGCACTGCAGAGCAGCTCAGTGCACGCTCCCATGAGGGCTGGGAGCAGTTGGCCTCATCTGTTTCACTGACACCACCTCCCTCCAATTTGCTTTTATTAAAAGCACACTGTTATGCTGCTAAGCCAGTCCTACTTCTTGGATTTATTAATCTAGCTGTAAGCATCTTATTAATCATCAGAATGCTAAAATAGCTAACGCTTGATTTTCAGAGAACAACAGCATTGCGCTCACAGCACCAGGGCATCTCCAAAGCATCAGCTTTAGCACACTGCCCAAAAATCTGCAGTGCATCACCAACATCAGCATCCTTGTACTCTGTCAGAGGGCAATCAGGCTGCCATCGCCCTTTGACACCACACTGCTGCTGTAAAAGGTTCCAGCACTCCTTTCTGTGCTTCTCCAGCAGCACAAGGCATTTCTTAAGTACAAAGTACCTGGCTCCATCATTTCCACGCTGATGGAGTTCCAGAGACCATTGGCATTGTGCTGTGCAGGGCACTGCGGGTCAGCAGCACAGCTGCCACTACGCAGAGACACTCCTGCTACATGGGAACATGGTTGGGAAAAAGAAAAGAAAGGTGCAGAAATGCCTTGCATGGTAAAACTACAGACTGGTTTGCACATTGTGCCTTCATCAGGCAGTGCTGACGTTGTGCCTCCTGCAAAGATGTTGGATCAGCCCTGTACGAAGGGCATTGCACACAGGGTGACTGCATGACCCCTGAGCCCTGCAGGCTGCTGGAGGAGCCACAGCACAGCATGCAGGTGGGGCAGGGCTTCCACACTCTGCAACCTCACTCTCCAAAATGAGGAAGGAGCAAACTGGGATTTGGGGGCTGAAAATGAGAGGACAAATGGTAAAGCCACCTTCGGTTGAACATACTGAAAAACATACTGAAAAAAGGTTTACATACACACACACACACGCATGCATGTAACAATTGAAATGAAAATGCCATCCTACACAGAAATCCCTTGCAAACGCACTGCAACAGCCAGCACTTGCCAACAGATACAAACAGGATGATAACGCAGCACAGAGGTGGGTTTTGCTCGGTCCCTCCAGGAAGCACAAACCCATCACTGCCCCATGCATCCCCTTTACCTCTGGTGATGACTCCCTCCAGTCGGATGACGTTGGTGTGGTCGAACTGACCCATGGTGCACGCCTTGGCCAGGAAACAGCGCTGCTGCTTGGCAGAACAGCCAGCCCTCAGTGTCTGGATGGCCACCGGCAGCTCCCGCTTGCTGGGCAGCTTCAGGCAGCCTCGGCAGATCTCTCCAAACTCTCCTGTATGGCACAGAGAGGGTAAGCAGGATCCCCACTGGAACATCCCCACGTTTCCAGAGGGCCCCTTGCCATAGCTCGCACATCACTGCACCAGACCTTTGTTATTTGCAGACTGTGAAGGAAGGAGCAGCGCTGTGCAAGGGTGATGCTGTCACAGTGTGCTCTAAGGACAGCTTACAGCACCCACTGCGAAGCAGAGGGCAGCTGTCCTGAAGGATTTCCCTGTAGGAGTTACCTCCTTTGTTTTGGGAACACACTGTGCAGCTCTCCAGCACAAGCCAGGAGTCTCACTGTGCACACAAGACAGACCTTCCCATCATCAACCAGAGGATTTGCCAGACATTAAGCCATGCACGGAGCCCTGCCTGGATGCAGCTTTCCCCCTGTTGTCCTCTGTGCTGCCTTCCCTGACCCCACACAAGTTCTGCATCAGCATGTGACACTAATAAACACAAACGCAATGCCTCTTCTTTCTCAGTCTCCAAGCTACGTTCTCACAATGCTCTGCTCAAGGGCATACTGGGCATTTCTCAAGGAGAAGATCAACCCCCAGCCACCATGCTTACACTCTCTGGCTCCAGCCCCTTCTGCATCCAAGCATAGCTCTGCTTTGTGCAGCAAAAAAGTACAGCAGGACCTGGAGCATCCAAGCAGCACCTGGGACTGAGCACCCTGCTTCTCACAGCCATGTGCTCAGAAACAGGAGCTACCTAACTCATAGCAAAAGGCCAATATTGGCTTTACAGCAAAAAAAAAAAAAAAAAAAAAAAAAAAAGAGTAGATCTGAAAAGCTTTATCGATCTGAAAGCCAGGTGCTTGTTAGGTCAGCAGCGAGACTAATGCACTCTTAAATTCTTTATATTTAAACATCTCCCCGACTAATTTCTTTCTTGATCTTCTCAAACACCGATCTGTTTCTGGAAGTGATGTGGGACTGCAGGCCCAGCAGCACCCAGATGACTTCTGCTGCTCCTTTCATCACTGCCCTCAGAGCTGGAGGGGCAAGCCCCCCCACCCCAGCTCTTCTTTCTCTGCAGCTGAATTTATCTTTAGGGAATAAAAAAAAAATGACAAAGAATAATCGTGTTTCCCATGTTCTGGTGCACATTAGCAGCTAAAGCTCTAGGGCCCAGCGTGGGGATTTTAATTTGCTTTTAAGTTTTAGGCTCTGAGGGTGATGAAAATCAATAAATCATTAAGTTCACATATTTATAAATAGCTCCTGCGCTGCTGTCAGCCTGCCCAGATGCAGATCACTGCTGATGCCTCTGGTGCACGCCTCACTCTGTTGGCTGTACATAGTGCCACAGCAAAACAAAGCAGAAGGGGAAATCCAGCTGCAGGACAACACACCAACCCCCATGTCCAGAGCTGTGGGAAGGGATGATGAGGATGGAGGGTGAGGAGCTGCCCAGGACAGCACTGGCAGGCAGTGGCCAAGCAGGGGATGATGCATAGGGACACAGTGCTAAAGGCCATAGGGGAAACCTGCCTGTCCCGATGATCCTCTCGATTTTAATACTGGCATTATCCAGCTCTTTGGCAAAGAGGTGCACAGCCTGCATGGGATCTTCACAAGTGTCCGGGTCAATGTATGTCCTCCTGGTCGGTATTTTAACTGCAGCAAAGGAGGGAAATACACAAAGCTAACAAGAGCGACGCCGTGCTCCCCTGGCTCTGCTCTGCACAGAAACCCCTCATGGGCAGCATCAAGATCAGGAGAGAGAAGCCCCAGTGCATCCCAACAGCACGTGGGCACCTGAAATGCTCCAGGGAGCAGAAGAGCCTGTGTGTGCTGAGCAGGCATCGAAGAAACTCATCCATTCCAACGTTGGAATTTCCTCATCTATAAAATTACTGCTGCTCAGTCACCAGGAATAGCCCCAAAAAACAACACTGTGTTCTCCCACAGCCATTTGTGAAAAGCTGATGTAATAATTCATGTGACCCAGGGATCGCCAAGAGCATCCCCACCCCATAGGCACACCAGTGCCCTGCTAGAGAATGGGAGCTGCTGAGCCCCACTGCCCACAGAGAGCATTGCTGTGCCCAGCCCTGTGCTGGGTAATGTGAGTGGGAACACTTAACATTAAAGGGTCAGGGCTGCGTGGTGGAGAGTTGGGTAATTAATAGCAATTAATTGCAGTAAATACAGGGACCCCACTGGCCATACTAACCGTGCTGGCCAGACTGCACTTACAGTGGAAGTAAAGCTCCTCGTCTCCATCCTGGCTGGCTTTGCTGTACCCACACTGCCTGCAATAAGAATTAGGATACGTGTCATTGCCTGGGACAGCCTCCCATGGGGCACAAAAGTCAACAGAGCCCAGTGCTCATGCTTATAGCCATGCTGCCCAGCGAGTTGTGGGTGCCCCATCCCTGGAGGTGCCTGAGGCGATGGATGGAGCCCTGGGCAGCCTAGGCTGGTGGGGGCAGCCAGCCCAAGGCAAGAGGGTTGGAACTGGATGACATTCTATGAGTCTGTGGTTCAAGGAACAGCTTTGGACAGCCACCAACCCGCTCACCTCCTCCAGACCATCATGCCGACCACCATGGACACCAGCACCGTCAGCCCTGCGATGGCCACCACTATGATGATTAGGACAGGATTTTGCTCATTTGAGGCCACTGTCACTGCCAGGAGGGAAGCAGAGCCATCAGCATCATGCCTGGGGCACGTCCCACATCCCACACCTCTCTGCACCAGCTTGTGTCCTCCAGTAAGGCTGGGGATGACCCACCTGCAGTGCCAGGCTGCTTCTCCCCATCCTCCCAACAATTCACACCCTGGGTCAGGACACCACTTAATACTGAGCAAAGGATCCAGCTTAGTAAGGGGGAGGGGGGGGGAAACGACAATTTAAAATTGATGGCTAACCCACTGTTTTCCATTCATCCTTCCCCCTTCCTGCTTTTGCAAACAGGGGTATTTAGAAAGCTACATTCTATATAAAATTTTCATTGGCTTCAATTCATTCCAAAAATGTCTTCTGTGTGGTAAATGGATGCAATTTAAAGCCCTGTTAAACACAATCTGTGCGAGTCGTACTGAGCCAGCCATCTCAGGGCTTTCATTTCCAGCCAGGGTGGGTTATTAAACTGAAACCCTACCATCTCTCCAAGCCCACTTTTAGTCAGTGAAATAAGATGCTTCTGGACTATAGTTATGAATGGAAACTGTGAAAAGTAAAACCCAGCAAATAACACCGATGCTGGCTGACTCAATCCAACACAGGATGGAGAAGTGCCTGGGAGCCAGGGGGCAGAGAGTGGAGGCAGCTGCCCCATGTTTGAGCAGGCACCCAGGGCCAGGGCTGTCTCTGAACTGCTCCTGTCCCCTGAGGCAGCTGCCCCTACAGATCGTTGCCCCCACTGCCACTACACCGTGCTCCCTTCCAGTGCTTCCCATTCTATTCCCAATAGAATGAACTTTTAAAAAAAAAAAAAAAAAAAGGGGAGAGGGGAAAGAGAAGGAGAAGAGAAGGGAGAAAGCACTGGCAAACGGGACAATGCAACTAAAAATAAGCCTGGAATAGGCTGCCCAGAGAAGCTGTGGATGCTCCGTCTCTGGAGGTGTTCAAGGATGGGGTCCTAGGCAGCCTGGTCTAGTATTAAATGTGGAGGTTGGAGGCCCTGCATGCAGCAGGGGGTTGGAGCTTCGTGATCCTCAAAGTCCCTTCCAACTCAAGCCATTCTATGATTCTAAGTCCTGGGAAGCACCTGCTCTGAGATTCAGCCTTCGCATTCAAGACTCACAGTCAGCCAATGTCTCCACTTCAATGCTGGGGCTGTAGTTGCCGTAGTCCTGCGAGGAAGATGTCCGGATTTGGAAAATATAGAGGGTGCCAGGCTTCAGGTTATTGACTGTCACGGCTGTTGAGGTGGTTTTCACAGTTGAGTAACTTCGATCTCTTTGATCCTGTGAAATAAAGAGTTGCTTGAGGTTTAAAGGGACCAACGGCTGCACCAGAATCCCACTGTCACAGCCGTGCCCCCACCCTCCCATCAGCTCTCACCACCACAACCCAGCAAACATGCAGCCTTCACCAGAAAGAAAACTCTTACCTGATCTTTTGGCCATTGAAATTTCATGGATAGGTCACATGAAATGGCAGCTAGAATCAGACAAGGCGCTATGAAGACAGGCAGAGGGCAGAGTGGTGGGGAGGACCCCAGCACGGCTCCTTGGGATCCTATCCACCTGCCCAACAACCTGCAGATTCCTCTGTGTGACAAAGGGAGGTGGCATCAAGCACAGCACCCACGGCTCAGTATGCATTCAAGGCTGGGGATGGCACCACCAAAAGGATTTTCTGCTGGATGCACTCCTCCCCTTGAATCTCCATAGGTAAAGTATGGCTTTAAAAGCGCAGATTAGGAACCAAGTTGATTTTCCTGTCAGCATCAAGAGCCTCATTCCAGCGAGTAATTGCTAAACTATAGTTTAAATTCTCCACCCAAGCAGGATGTCTCCTCGTTGCACGTACCCTGAGTATCTTGTTGCTGCAGCCCATTTGCAAAGGAATTACCGTATTACTCTCAGCATTCGCCCTCCCCCACAGATTCCTCCTTTCAAATCTATCAGATGCTGAAAATCACATTAATATGAATCAGCTTCAAGGTAGCTTGTTACTAAATACAGAATGCCAACGTGTCACCTGCACAGTTTGCTTGACATGCAATCAGTTTCATAACGAGCCTGAGCACACGCAGATAAGGTAATTTGCGGAACTGTGTCATAAAATGCATTTATTTTGATTTAGAGCTTTGTCTCTGCTCTCTGCCCACTGGTATCTCTTCTAAAATTCTCATCCCGCTGTGTCTGTCAAATAACAGCTATTTTTTGAATTAAGAGGCTGTCACAGAAATGTTTGCTGGTGGGCTCTCCAGCGCGCAAGGCCACTCACAGCTTACTGAAGTCTGGGGCTGGTGGCACTTGATCCTAAACCAAAGACCACTGGTCCAAAACTTCCCAAGAGAGCAGGCTATGAACATAGGTGTCACCTCATCACAGCTCAGGAAGCACTGCATGGTTTATAGTTCCTGTCTAGCTGGGTGATGGCAAGCACCCAAACCTCAGACTTCTACTATTCTTGAAAAAAAGTCCATCCAAAGAATGAATGAATGGAAATTATTGGCTTCGCTCCTCTTCCCAGGGAGATGTCAACATTAGGACTGGAAGAAATCTTGCTGAACAGATGGGACCAAAAAAAAAAAAAAACCACCCTAATTAAAATAAACCCTCCAAACAACCCAAATTTCCAAAAACTTACATAAGCAGATTTCATAAGGCTGGTGGAGAGGAAAAGCCTTTACAAGCACCCACTGGAAGCGCTTCTGCCACTCTCAGGTGCCAGTAAAACTCTCCCCATGCATTCACATCCCTTATTTCCCACCACTCAGCCATGGGGTGCTGAGGAACATCCCCAGAGCCATACCTTCTCGTAGTACTTGACCTCGTACTCGGTGCTGTTGGTTGGGAAGCCTGGCTCCTGCCACGACAAGGAGATGCTCTTCTGCTCGACTTTATCGGTGCGGATGTCAGTGACAGGAGTTGGCACTGGAAAGGCAGAGGGGAAAGCAGGGGGTGATGGCTGAGGCAGAGCATCCCTCTAAGCCCCCAGCAGCCACCCCACAGCAGAGCCTGCCCACCTGGGGACCCTGCCAGCAAGTCTGGGGCACTGCAGTTACCAACAGCCACATTAATAGCTAGGAGAGCATGAGTTAGAGGGGGTTTTACCACTGTCCTCACATTCGTGGTCACTTTGTTTCTGCTTTTGTCCTCTGATGCCAAAGTAAAAGCTTTTAATAATCTGAATGGCTGAAGAGCATTCATCTTGTGCAGTTTGTGGTTTCCTCTCTCTGAATCAGGACTGAAACAGGGCAAACTCCAAGCTGGTGATCATCCAAAATACAACTGCTTTGTGATCTGGTCAGCTAGCAAGGCTCTGTCCTAAAAGAAGCAAAAAGCCCCGATTGCACCCTCTGCCACAGTGCTGCAGGGGTCAGGTGCTCTGTGCCTGCTGCTAATGGTGTGTGGGAGCTGCAGGACACATTGAGCCCCCCAGTGCTGCCCCGTCTCACCATCCCATCCCATCCCAACACTGGGAATCAGGCAGAGCTGCCCGCCCTGCCTGCTGCCAGCACTTGAGCCGTGCTCCAGAAGCTGCCTGGTTATTTCTGATCAGCACGCACTGCATGCTGAACCGTCCTTCCTGGCATTTCTGCTCCTGGTTAGCTCACCTCCCTGCATAGGATGCACGTGGCAGCTAGTCCTGCTTTCACCATGCCACATCCTGCCCAGAATAGCTGCAGTTCATCCCAGTGCCAGACTAGCAAACGTACTGCAGGTGCTCCAGCAGCTCCAGTTGCATCACAGGAGCTCACTAAAGAAGCAATGCTCCCCCTGAGCCAGGAGCAGCACTGCTGTGATGCTCAGCCCACAGGCAGCACCCATCACACACAGGGCAGCAGCAGGGAGGAGGTGGGAGATGCTATGACAGCAGTGGCTCTGATGCTCTTAAAGACAGACAAGAAATGTTTTAGTAGGGAAAACATAATGTGAAAAATGCTTCTGCTGGAGCTCCTCATTCTGGGTTGATCAGAAAGCTCAACTTCCCCAGGCCAAGGAACACACCACAGCGAAGAGTCTGCAGCGACCAATTCAACACCTGCACATGGCAGCACAGGGAAAGCTGTGCAGGGAATTGGCTGCTCCCAGCCCGTGCTGCTTCTCCATCAAACCAGGACACGCGCTGAGCCCTGACTGCTCCACCAGGACTCCTGCTGAGAGGAACAAGTCCCTGGAAAGTAAACTTAAGTATCTGTGAAATTTTGTATTTATGACTTAGCTCATTAATCTCCACTGCAGAAGAACGTCCTGCTGATGTTTTATTCATGATGATTTGCTCCTTGATTCCAAGTCCTCTCAGCTTCTTCTGAGAGCACGAGGATGCAGAACGCAGCTGGGCATTCCGAGGGCATCAGGCTCAGCCCTTGCACACTGCTAACCCCCCACTGCCTCAATGTGGGTTGCCATTTTAAAAAATAACCCTCTGAGTCCACAACACCGGCCCTAGAGCTGACCTTTAAGGGCTTATCAAATCGTTCATGCATAAAGGAGGAGAAGCACAAAGCAAAACAAGAAGGTTGGCAGCAGCCCTGCTGGTGCACGCTCCCAAAGCCAGTCAGGGCTTTGCTCCTGTAAACGGAGCTAAGTGCTCCTTGCTGTGCTATATGATCCCCATCAATAAGATATCGCACAGATGTCTGCCTGTATCTCTGAATCCAGCAAACAGACTGAGAAAGCATGAACAAGCTCTCCTGACTGTTAACAAAGCCATCAGGAGAAATCATGCCCGCCGAGTGCCTCGTTGGAGAGCAGCACACATGGAGCATGCCAGCAAAGCGAGCACCAGCCTTCACCATGCTTAAAAGGGATTAAAGAAAATCACACAGACTATAAAGCATTTCACACTGTGGGAAAAGAAAAAAAAAAAAAAAAAAAAAAACCACAACTGTTTCCCATCAATATTTTAAGCTTCCCTAACGCTGTCTCTATTCTGAAAAAAGCAAACTTTAAATTATTCAGCGCTCAGCCTGGTTTTATAAACTCCACTCCATTGCATGTGGGTGTGCTTCTCTCCATTAACTGGTGGGGCAGCAGTGATGGCACAAAGGTGCTGTGCCCTGAGCACCCCTAAGCAGGCATCCAGAGGGGACATGGATGCTCTGAGGACAGATGGACGATGGGTTTGCAGCCCATTGACTGATCTTGGTATTAAGAAATGAGCTTGAATTCCTCAGTTTAAGTGTCCATTTTATACCCATTAATTACACAGTAATTCAGCATCGCTCCCTGTGAGCAGCAGACAGCAGGCACATCAGGCTCAGGAGATGAGTGCTGCCAAAAACCTACAGCTGGTGGTGAAGGTGATGCACAGAGTCAGAGGCAGTGAGGAGAGATGAAGTCGGAGCACAGAAGTGAGAAATCTCCACCTGGGCAGAGCTCAAGGTGCACAGACACAGGGAGATGCTACAGCTGATGGAGAGCAGCCCTGCTCTGCTGCAAATCACTTTGCTTCTCCATCCCACAGTGCAATCAGTCACCCCAGGGCCCTGATTAGTGCAATCAGCTGCTGTGATAGAGCCAAGACAAAGCCCAACCGACTGCAGGGTCACTCAGCAGAGCAGAAGCAGCAATTTGCACCTGTTAATTCCTGTGAACCGGCAGCGTGAGCTGCAGATCCAGCATCTGAGGTGCCCAGCAGTCGGAAGAGCCTAAGCACATAGCAAAGCACTGAGAGTCTCATGGAGCAGGAAACTTCCAAGACAGCCCACATTCAAGCTGCTGCAAGGCTCCAATGCCACCGCTGCAGGCAGCAAAGTGTGGGGAAGCCAAGGGAGCAGCAGCAATGTGCACGCAGAGCAGCTGCTTCAAAGCACCTCATTCAGCAAAAAAAGCACTTCCCAGTCTCAGAGAGCAGAATGCATTCCGCCACTGGCTGCATTATTAATCTGCAACAGATTTAAAAGCCCTTTAAGACAGGAGCTGATCCCTGCCAGGAATATAAATGACATTGTCCCACATTGTACATTTACATAGCTGATGTTGATCTGCTCCTGCAGGTAAACAGCTCCGTTCGCTCCTCAAACACTTTTGTTTAGTCCCACGCTGGGGCCAGATTAGAAAAAACACGATATTAATTTTGCCTCCTGCAGACTAAACAGCATCTTCTCTTTTTCCTCACAAATACAATGAGCAACTGCTAATTCCCTCTTGTGAATGCTGAAGGGGAAGGGCAGCGTGAAAGATGCACTTAAAGCTATATTTAGAGGAGCTGGGATCTGACAGCTAAATAGGGTCTTGTTTCTTTGTTTAATTTTTCCTCTGAATCTGCATATCTCCAGCCAGAGCTTTCCTGATGCTGCCAAAGACATCCCCAGGACCATCATATCGCAGCCACAAAAGGAGCTGCCTCTGCTCCAGGCATCCCTGAGGCCTTGCTCTCTGCTTATCTCTGGCCCCACTCAGCACTTTGGTGATGGATTTGAACAAAGGGGCCCCAGCACACGGGGAGCAGTTCCAGTCTGGGCAGGGACACCTTCAGAAGCAAAACACTCGAGGGTTTCAAGCAGCTTCCTGAACCTCAGCTGCTCAGCTAAATCTGTGCCACCATCTGCATCCGGAGGCTTGACAGCTCGACAAGAGACACTGATTTTGAGCAGATTACAAGATTAATTATGCCATATTCTTTATGCATACTTCAATTCCTTCAGGAGTATGCAGTGTGGAGTAAGGGAGTGAGATTCCCACTTACCAAAATGAAAACTTGCATTGAACAGACTTACAGATTCAGCACAGGCTAGCATCATGGACTTGTTGCTGTGTTCCCTATGGAGCACAGGGACCTCCTGCCTCAGGCTCTGCCCCACCACCCACATGGGAACCTCTGCAGCGACCTCTCATTATCAGATATAATTAAACTCCCACCCTCCCCAGCACACGTGCTGCTGGCTCAGGACTAACCTGAGCTTTGTGACACCTCTTCCCAGCATTAAATTCCTCCCTGAGCAGCCACAGCTCTAACGAGGAGTGACACCTCTGCTAAGGGTGGTCTGTGGCACAGCATCCACCGAGCAGATTCACAGAAATTAGGATAGGAGAGAGAGCAACAACACAGGCAAAACCATTTGATCAAGCGGTGGGAAAATTATTTATAACAAGATCAAAGTTTAATCCTTTCTGATGAAATTGTTGGCCAATTCCTGCCAAGAGGTATGTGAGGATCATCTGTCTCCATTAACCGTGGCTTGGCAAAGGGCTTTCATGCAAATTAATAACGTAGCCACAGAGGAGCAGACAAGGACACAACAAGGCAGTGCTGCACGGCCAACAGCTGAGCATAGAGCAACCCCAGGACCACAGACAGCAGCTTCCCCTTGTGCTAAGGGAACTCAAGCCTAGAGCAGAGCTGTTGGAATGGGTCCAGAGGAGACCATAAGGATGCTCAGAGGGTTGAGAGCTGCGGTGCCCATCCCTGGAGGTGCCTGTAATACTGTAATGGGATGGTAATAGCAGGGTGGCAAAAATCTTTGACTACAGCAAACAAGAACAAGCCCAAATGCAGCAGCCACAGGTGCAGAAACGAAAGAAAAGAGCTGCTTATCTTTGGAAGGCCTCAAGTAGGCAAGGATCTCCAGCAAGAAATGCCCTCACCTCCACTGCTAACCCTTAAATGAGGTCTGGGAAGGGGTGGATCCTGGCTCCACCCCTTCAGTCACTCAGCTGCATTGCACGCACCTGAGTTCCCCTGGGCAGGCCCTGCCTTCTCACCAGGTGCTCCATCACTGTTTCAGGTCATGATTTAGCATTTCCACAACAGTGCCCAAGGCCACAGATGTGACCTTGAGAGGGCAGCCAGCCCAGGGAGCGCTTGGAACTAGACAGGCTTTAAGGTCCCTTCCAACACAAGCCATACTGTGAATGTATTCTATGATTCTATTCTACGATAAAGTAGATAATTACAGTCAAAAATCTTGCTGTGGACCAGCACAGAAAAGAGATAAAATAATTTTTGTTTCCAACGGATAGCCAATATTCAAAGAGTCCTTTCGTAAGTGGCTTCACAAGCGCATCTCTTTGAATATGCTTTCCACGAGCTGCAAACCCATCCTACAGCTGCTTGAAGGAGTTGTGACTCCCAGCCCAGGTTGTCCCCAGCCACTCCCCAGAGCGCCTTTGGGATCGAGGAGAGCAGCAGGTGCCACAAACGAGCCAGGAACCCGCAGCACGCATCACCTCCCCACCCCCACCAGTACCTGCAAGCCCAGTGGAGACGTTGACCTCAGCGTAGGGCTGCCCTGCCAGCGGGCTGCCGGCCGAAACGCCATTGAGGGCCACCACGCGGATGGTGTAGTTGGCGTGGGGCAGCAGGTTGACCAGCGTGACGGTGCGCTCCACCAGTCCCGTCTGCTGCGGCACGAAGCCCACACCATTGCCACACTGCTCACAGCCTCCCCGCGGCGCCGGGCAGCGGCTGCACCACAGGCTGTAGGTCAGATCGCTGCGGCCGCCAGCGTCGGCAGGAGCGCTCCAATGCAGCACCAGCGAGGAACGGCGCAGGCTGTACACCAGGTCCCTTGGGGCAGATGGTGGGCCTAGGAGGAGAAGGGTAGCCATGGGCATGAGGTTGCTCAGGGGTCCCATTTGGGGATGGAGGTGGTGGTGGAACAAGGCTCGTGTTCAGGCAGCAGCCCCATGGCAGCTCGCAGGACATAAGTCTGCACGGTGGGCTTCTTTTTGGAGAACCTCCCACAGCCAGCCAGCCACAGCTCACACAAGGTGTGAGGAGCACCCACAGCACCTCTCCCTGCCGTCCAACCCATGCCTGAGCTTCTCACTGCCAAGCAGGCACTTCTACCCCATCCATCACTGAAGGAGCTGAGGTCCAATCCAATTAACTAGAGGCCAACTAATTAAAATCAGCAAACTACATTGAACAACTAACCGCCCTAGTTTTACCAGTGAGTGCCTGCAAGCCTGATCACACGTGGGATGTATTGAACCTCACACCCCCGTGGAACAAGGGGAGCCCACCGCCCTCCCAGGCCCAGCCCTCCTTGGTGCTACAGAGCCACTGTTTCAGTGAGACATACGCGTGCAGGAAGCAGACAGAGGATCTGATGGGGACCTGGAGTAGTTCTTCTGGCAGGAGCAGAAGGTGGAGGCTTCCTCATGCGTGAAGCTGTGCTCAGGGCAAGGAGAGCAGAGAGGGAGGCGGAGGGAGAGCTTGTAAAATCCTGGAAGGCATGCTGGAAAGAGAGAAAGGGAGTTATTGAAAGAATAGCACAAACTGAACAGGGCTACAGCTGGTAGCATCCAGCTCCCTGGGCTTCCTCTGCCTGTTGCTGGCCAGAAGACATCACCCTCCAAACTCCTTGCTGGGATCCTGGCATCAAGGAAGATGTCCATTTGGTTTGACCCAGAATGGACATTTTGATGCTGTCACTTGGTTCTGGCTCCCAGGGCTGTGGGACCCTTTCAGTGGGCTATGGAGGCACTGAAAGAATGACAGCTATTGGCAGGACATCAGCTAGAGAGATGCTGGAAGCTATAGAGGGATTTGGAGGAGGAGGTGGCTGCAGAAGAATGTGGGATACAGAAAACAGTTTAGTGGTCAGCGCCAGGTGAGCAGTGCAAAAGGAAGTGCAAGACTTAGCACCAACCCAAAAAGGGCAGATCAAGAAGCTGGAGAACTCATTGGGCACCAGAACTACAAAGCTGCACACGAGGCCATGTGCTGGCAGCCGTGGTGCCATCACTGCAGATTGACAGCAGTCACTGCAGGCAGTGGGGTATGTACTGAAGTCAAACAGCAGCAGCAGCAATTTACTTTTACAGGCTGTACACAGGCTGCCTTTACCCTTTGGAAAGCGTCTTTGATATTCAAACAAGAAAGTTTTTCATCCGCTGGTCGAGGAATTGCTTGATCCTGACCACAGACAGCACAGTGTACCAACCTACCAACCCCAGCAGGACACCTAGGAGCTACTTCTGCATGAAAGACACATTACTTCACACGAAACAACAACAACAACAAAAAAAAACAGGCTGTAAAACCCCACAGAGCAGTTCACAATAGCTTCACTTTAGCCCTAAAACAACATCTGAAAAAGCAGCAGCCTGCTAACAAATACATTCCGCTTGGCTTCATCTTCTTGATGTGGGGCTGCTGCCTGCTGCCCCTCCATCAGCTCCCTGAGCATGCAGCCTTGTGAAGTCCCCACACAAACAGCTCCCCGAGCGCAGTCCCCTCTCTCATCACTTTTAAGGAGTTGGCTGCTGAGACTGTTCCTTTTAATGAAGATTATTCCAGTGCACTCCGGTTCATTACTTTTTCGCATGACACAAAACTGGCAGCTCTGGCTGTGATCTGAGGATAAAGCACCAGGCAAGGCACCGGGGCAGAGAAGACTTGCATGGGATGCTGAAAACGGGTGAAAGTTTACAGGGGACATTATTTCACTGCCGTTAAAGAAATCCATCTTGCTGTGACTGGGGGTGGGTTGCTCCTTTCCACACAAGGTCTCTGTCACACAGTGCAAGCAGATAGAAAGCAGCAGGTTTGGCCACCCTAAGCCTATTCCAGTTGTGCTCAAGCAAGGGGTTTCCTGGTATCTGGAATGAAAATCAGAATTTGCCAATCATAGAATGGCTTGGGTTGGAAGGGACCCTAAGGATCATTAAGTTCCAGCCCCCTGCCACAGGCAGAGCCACCAACCTCCAGATATGGTACTGGACCAGGTTGCCCATGGCCCCATCCATCCTGGTTTTGAACACCTCCTGGGATGGAGCACCCACAACCTCTCTGAGCAATAGATGTGGACTCAGCGTTGCTTTTCCATACTAAAGATGAAGAGTGGTAAAAATGGAGAACCAGAAAAGAAAAGCCTTAAAAACTAGTGGGACTGGACAGTCTACAGCTTTGCCTTTTCCTCTCCCAGTTCCCAGCACACCTCCAGGACCAGATAATGCTGACCAACATAGAGGCAGTATGCAACACACATAAATGTCTTCCCCTACTTCAGGCACTAGATAACACAAAAAAAAAACAACAGTGGGTGTTCAAACTACCTCCAAAACTTCCAGCCTCCCCTTTGTATTTGAGAAATCAAAGCAAGCCTACTGTTACACCAATACGTGCGGCAATGCATTCAGCTTGCATTTCCTTCAGTGCTGCCCACAGCGTAGGGCAACAGGACTGCCATTGGCACACAGTGCTTGCAGGCACATCCTGAGCTCCCATGGGCTCCACTCCTGCTCAGTCATCCCAGCCCTGAGCACGGCATGTCCTGCTCTGCAGGGAGAAGCTTCTCATTACAGCATCAAAGCCCCAACGCTGGCACCGGGTTCCTGCTCGTAGCCTCTGTCAGGCAGAACAGAAAAATCAATCTTGTTTACAAACTTGATGGGACTAGAGCAGTAAAACCAGGGAATATACTGCTGTCATCCCCCGGAGCTAAAGGCGAGCCCAGCAGTCACATAAATTTGACATCTCATGGTAGGAAATTGAGCGTTTTCAATTAGAAGCATCTTTCAGGCAGTTCCTCCCCGTCTCTAATAGCTAGGAGAAGGAAGTTGACAAAACAACATTTAGACGTTGCCTAATTCTTCACTGAAATCACGGCCAATAACAGGAGTGCTGCAGCCTCCTGGCTTTCTATGCGTTGTTGTTTTTAACTTTGTCCCCTGGTTGTCCTATTCTGATGCTCCAGAAGGAGTGCAGAAGCACCCCACGACATTTGATGCATCACAGATGCACCTCAGTTTCTGAAACGAACTCCCCCTCTCTCCACCTCATCCGACAAGTGTTTTCCTTGGTCCCCAGTTAGTTTATAGCCAATTCTGTTACTTTGCAGTGCTCGTTTTTGCAGAGGGTACGTGGCAGCTCTCCAGCAATCAGGCCATCCATTTACAGAATGAAATTCTCTGTTTGGTACACAATTGCCTCTCAGGTACCACCACAACTGAATTATTAAATAATGGAATCCAATAATCCCTCATCCTGGAGGAGGAGCAGCTGGGTGGGTCAGACAAATTCATCGCCTCTCTCCGTTTCCATCACTGCTGCCCACGTGAGATGCTCCCTGTGCTCCCCATTCACTTCTCCAATAGGGCACACACTCCCTGCTTGTCACCACGCTGCATGCCAGCAGCAGAACCCCATGGGTTTCTCATGCAGACACATCTGCTCCCACTGTCGGACATGAACAGGTGACTACGGAGAGCAAAAAGCAGCAGCATCTCCCACACACAGTCTTAGCCATAGGGAGATTGGAGCAATTAAGGATGCAGAGAGGCACGAAAAAGGCCTGGTTTCTGATTAAGCCATCACAGGACAGCTTTAATTCCCCCTCTCCAGCAGCAACCACACTGTTGCTCCTCCTGCTGCAGCCCAGACTCTGCCCCACGGCCCCAGGGGCTGCAGAAGCCTCTCTGTCACCAGCACGGATCTCAGCATTCCCCAGGCAGCAGCAAGCTGGGCATAGACGTTTCACCTTAAAAAATAGCAAGGGATCCCTGGCTGAAACCCTGATTTATCAGCAGCGGGGCATCAGCATCCCAGCAGCTTTATCTTGTTAATTGATAGACAGTGATTAGAGGCAACTCGCTAAGTGCACCAACCAGGACAACTGACTGCAGCTCTGCAGCTTTGGAGCTGATTGCATTTCTTTTCAAGTGAAGCACGGCCAGGATTTTGCATGCAGCAGTAAAATGAAGTTATTAATCACCCCAGCTCTATTTACCAGCTGGCGGGCAGCCTGTGTGATGTTGACATCCATCGCTGCAACAGCTGATTACCTCAAACAATTCACTTAACCTTTGTTTTCTTTTTGAAGCATGGGAACATTGGCCACACTCAAGCAGGGAAGATGGGACGGGTGGGTTTGAACAGCCAAATCCAAGTTAGGAGATGTTCGCTGACATTGCCCCAGCCACTCAGCAGGGCCTGAGGAATCCAAAAATCCATTTCCTGCAGCTTATCGGTGCCTAATTAAACAGCGCTCATCATTTTGCAGAGAGGATGGGGCTGAGACCTTAGCAAATACTGAAGCTTAGCATAAAATATTGAGAGGATGAGCACAGATGGAAGATTAAATACGAGGTGGAAATTGCACTGTATCACGGATTTAGGACTAAAGCTACTTAACCCACACAGCTTCCAGGTAGCGTCAATACAGAAATCAGACAGAGCCCATCAAACACCTCCTGCCTGCCTCCACCACTGGGAAACACATGTGTACACGTGTGCCCGTGGCTTTGCCTCTCCAATCACACTGAGCTTTGCCAGACCGCAAGGAAAGTTCCTTTGCAGTCCAGCAGCGTGTTTCTGCCCCCCACCTGAAAGCTTTTGATGAGTTCTACCTTTTGGTTTTCCTACCCCAACTGTCTCACGCCAGCTTGGTGATTCACACACCTCACAGATCTCTGAGAACAAAGGGAAAACAGGGAGGACGTTGTATGCACGAGCACTGCTGAACTTATTCATGCTGCTGAATTCCTGCAGACGGCGGAAGAGCCGTGTGCTTGCCAGCAGGAATCAATAACGCCTGCAGATTCACCCAAAACGCCTATACAGTCATTTGTAATTAACACTACAACTCGGTTGTCTTCCAAAATCAATTCCTTTCCTTTTTTTTTTTTTTCTTTTTTGGTCATGAAATTGTATTTGACAAAGTCCATTCTCTTCTAACGCACGTTAATTTTCTCTGCTGGAACTGCCAAACGGAGGGGCTGCGTGTGGATCACAGCATTGGGCTCCTCTGCATCCCCCATTCCCTGCAGACCTTCACCAGAGTGCACGCAGACATCATTTCCAGGAGCACCAAGAAGCAGCACATCTGTCCCTGTGATAATGCATATCAAGGTATGAAGGAGCCCTTCTGAGCACAGACCACCAGATCAACACATGCCCAGCCTGCACCATATCAGTCCCTGCTTTCTGTTATCAGCAAATGGGATAAAACACAGAACTGCTCACACCGCTGTCTCCCACAGTGATGCTGACCCCTCGGACCAGGTTGGCACATCCAGCTTCCATCCATCTTAATGCCATTATCGAGCTGAGCAAGTCAGTGGTTATTACACCCTAAACATTTCATTGAAATGCTGGTGGAGATGCACTTGGTGTCAGCAGTTCCCATCCCCAGGGCTGACCTCAGGGTCTCACACCAGCCTCCCAGTTCCAAAGAAGGAGCGCAGAGAACCTTCTCCAGGAGGGTGAAGAGACAGCAGGCAGCAGCCTGAGCTC